TCTTGCTGTTTAGTTATAAAATTCTAAAATCCTGTGAAGGAAACATTAATACTCTTTGATATAAGGATGAATTTGTGCCAAAAAAATGTAACAATGCATTTAAAATACCAAGGCTTTTATAAATATGAAAGTCATGTCTACTAATACACTGTTTTAATAGTGATGTTCCAAATGTAATTGTATACATTCAGTAAACACATTTCCAAAAAAAGGTCGCTTCTCGATTTTTGAGGGTTTAGGACAGTTATTCCGCATGTTGTCATGGTTTGTCTGTCTTTAACCCCTTTAAAGCCACAGTGAGCACTCCCATGTCTTTTTTGTGGATAGTTTACCTCTCAGAATTTATTCAAAATGACAAAATCTGAGAAACTTACAGAAAACCCGAAAACATTCTCAGCTCTGACAACCATTTCCAGTAGGACATATGTGCCAACACTTTCTATAAAGCTCCACATTTTATAATGCATTATGAGGAATGTATGTGATTTAAGAGATACTATGTTTTTTTTTTTTTTTTTTTTTTTTTTTTTTTTCTTTTTTTTTTTCTAATGCGTCTTGCGTACATAAACATCGCCTCTGTCTCCACCATGGATTATTTTTAATGCATGAAACTGTATTACACTTTTACTCCTCAATGAAACATGGCATTATCATCTGTAAATGAACTGTACAATCCTCAATATGTACTTTACTTCACTTGACCCATGGCACCATTAAGCTTACTGTGAGGTCCTTACTACAGGTTGATTGTTTGGGTGTGTACAAGTACGCATAATGTAATTTCAAAGCTCTATCAGTTAACCTTCTTTAACAATAAAAAGCATCAATAAAGCACTTACTTAGAAAGTCACATCGATAAATGTTTTACGACTGTTGATTGAGTGCATTAGAAAACATAGTGGGGGTGAAGGTGTATGAGTAGATGAAGCCATTGTATTATCAACACTAGAGATGGTGTTACCTGACATGACTCCATTATAATGGAGTTCACATGGAAGCAGGAGCTTCAATGTGAAATGGTTAAAACATGATGCACATGGTGGATTTTAGGGCCACTCCAACCACCAATTAGTGCGGTTAAAAGGTCCTTCGTTGATGAACTAACACATACGCGTTATGTGGTTTTTTGATTAACTATACAGGAAAAACAAAAAAGGATAAAAAGAACATCCTTGGCAGCGATAATCGTAATATCGCTTGTCCTACAAATGCCAACACTGAAGCAGCAGTATTAGGCAGAGCAGGAAACACAGACTGGCTGCTACTATTTTTCTCGGATCTGTTGAGGCTCTGCCCCAAAACCACTTCAGGGCCTAGCTTTCTGCCAGCCCCTGCAGATTTGCTTCGTTTCTATCTTTTTATGCTGCAAAGCGCTTCGAAAACTGTTTTAGGTCGGAGGAAAAGCGCTCTACAACACCATCTATTATTGATACGGTCTTGATATCGAGGCCCAGCTGTGGCGTGGTTGGAATTCCGTCGGGGTTTGGTTGTGCCCTGACAAGTTGATCAAACTAGGATCTGTTGTATGGAGTCAGTTGAGAGAACAGCACTTCAATTTAAAATGTATTTCAGAGAGACTTTGGCAGTATGAGAGAAGTAAATATTCATGTGTGCATTTACACACCCACTGTACGTTTAACTCAACAATGTATTCCTGGAAATGCATTTATGCAATTGTATCTCTGCAGCAGGGAAATAAAGATGTACATGGGTTTCTGATATTATGTGTGTGTGGTGTGTTGTGTGATGTATTTCAGGTATCTTTGCTCAGTTCAGTTCAGCATGAAGCGTGTACTTCCATTACAGATGCACTGCGGGCGCTCTGGCCAAGACTTCCAAGACCCAAAAAAAAAAATTACGAACAAGCTTTCAGCTGCGGCATCATGGACGACGCTGCCGGAGTGCTTTGTGAGTCTGAAACATTGCACACACACACACACACACACACACACACACCACACCACACACACACACCACAACACACACACCACATCACACACACACACACACACCACACACACCCGCCCCCCCCCCCCCCCCCCCCCCCCCCCCCCCCCCCCCCCCCCACACACACACCACCACATCACACACACACACACACACCACACAACACACACACACACACACACACACACACACACACCACACACACAAGGTTACCTTAAAGGCTTATGTGGGTGAGCAAGACTACAATCTCATGTTTTCAGTGTGCTGAATGAGCTATGGATTATGTTTCAGCTCTTTGCTTCAAAACCAATTTAGATGGAGGGAATAATAAGGTGAAGAAAACAAGATGGGAATGATTCTTCATAGTGTATTTAAGGGACTGCAACAAACCATTATCATATTATTTAAAGGTGAAATCATGATCAAGTATAGTCGCTTTCTTAAGCAATACAAATCTCAGCTTTCAGCTCGCAATAAAAATCACAGACCTCCATGCTGCTTCCCTCCAACCTTTTCTTCCTGCTTAAGGAACTCCACTTGTGTGTGTGTGTGTGTGTGTGTGTGTGTGTGTGTGTGCTGTGATGTGTGAGTGTGTGTGTGTGTGTGTGTGTGTGTGTGTGTGTGTGTGTGTGTGTGTGTGGTGTGAGAGAGTGTGTGTGTGTGTGTGTGTGTGTGTGTGTGTGTGTGTGTGTGTGTGTGTGTGTGTGTGTGTGTGTGTGTGTGTGTGTGTGTGTGTGTGTGTATGTGTGTGCACGGTTGGCGCTCTCTGATCGATTGGTAGTAAATGTGTTCAGTCAGGGAATCCGTAGGCTTCTTATGAAATATAGATGCTGCTCCCACGGTCAGATTAACAGGAGCACCAACAGAGAGGAACGATCAAACCCACACACACACACACACACACACACACACAACCACGCACACACACTCGGTACATATGTATACAACATAATCAAGCAAATATGCCAACTAACCAAACAACACCCACATGTTAATTGATGTTTCTTTTTCTTTGTGTGTGTCTTAGGAGAATCTCCTGATGCGTATCCACTTCCACATCAGTGCAGAGAGCAGAGAGGACATCTGCACAGCCAAACACTGTATACCACACCAGAAGTTTGCCATGACTCTGTTCGAACAGGTGGGAAATAGTTCAGTCACTTTAACAAAGAGATGGGGCATAAATAGACACAATATCGTGATATGAGACTAGATACTGTCTTAGATTTTGGATTTTGATATAGTGTGAAAGTGTTGTCTCTTGCTTTTAAAAGCTTCATTACAGTAAAATGATGTAATTTATCTGAGCTTACCGTACTGTAATAGCTGTCCATCTATCTACATTACTGATGTACATAAGTAAATATTTTGTGAAAGCACTAAAAGTCCGCCTTAAATGTATGACAACATCAATGTCTGGTATTTTGTCCAAGATATTGTATAATCGTAACATTCTATCCTATCATTTGATTTTCCCCTTCCTGCCCAGCACTACTTATATGAGTTGGTACATGTTTCACTTTTGGGACTTTCATCAAATATTCAGAAACATTTCTGAAGAACAGGATGTCCCGCTCTGAATCTGACGGTGTGTTTGTGTTTGCAGTGTGTGTGTAACAGCTGTGGAGCCACATCGGACCCCTTGCCCTTCATTCAGATGGTTCATTACATCTCCACTACATCCCTCTGGTAAGACCACACACACACACACACACACACACACACACACACACACACACACACACACACACACACACACACACACACACACACACACACACTGCAGTAAATCTGGCAGCTAGCTGAGGCTGGGTGGCAGTAAAGGAAGGTACAGCGTGTTCTCTTCTCCCCTGCACGGGTCCCTGCTGAACACTGAACTGTGAGCGCACACATGCACACACACATTATGCACAAAGACACACACATCAATTTTCATGCATTGGCAAAAGCAGGTAAGCTTTTGCATAATATGTCTTGATGGTAAATCCTCACCCAGGAGAAGCATTCTAAGAGCTGCAAAAACGTGCACACGCGAGTCAATGAAAGAAGGAACAGGGGAAGTAATCAATCATCTGTTTGATTCAGTAGACCCAGGGGGCGACATAAATCTATAAGTGTAACAGTGGATCGAAAAGGCTGCGAACGAGAGGGAAATAAGAGGATATATTACTCCATATCCCTTTTGGAAATTGAACACGGCAGAGGAAATAGAGGCATGAATGGGGGGTGAAAGTACAAATAAACACGCTGTGTGGAGGCAGTGGCAGGGCACAGCGGTGCCGCCGCTCTCTGTTTGTGCCTGTTAGCACTGCCAAGCTATTTTTACCCTTTAGTGGAGCCTGTTGTTTACAGTCATGATTGCCAAATATGCAAAAGTCAACATGAGTAAGATAATCAGAGGGCAACCGAAAGACAAACAAAATTCAGTTCCATGCCCAATTCAGATATGAGTAAACAAGAGGACAAGTGTGGTGTTTTGTTTTTAAACTGCGTTCTCAGCCTCGCATCTTCCTGTACATCTGAAGACGAGAGGTCAAGCTAGGGGTTAAAATGGAGTGAGAGAGAGAGAGAGAGAGAGAGAGAGCATACTGTAGGAGAGGTTGAGTTCATTTCGGGCTAATGGAAGGGGTAAGAGGAGGGGAGGAGGGGGGAGGAGGAGAGATTTGGATGGTTTTTAAAAATCGTTATTCTTAAAGGAATACTTCACCAGAAGAAAACAATGCTGATTCATAGCACACATAATCCCGTGCATGCATGGTACGGAGCTGCAGGCGCGCACAGGTCCATTTTGTATTCACGGATTATCATAATGTTGTTTGAGTTTGTCCTTGAGAGGACAATCGTACTTAAAAGGGATAAATGCAGCTCAGTGTTAAAGTATCATTAAGCCTGGCTGAAGGAGATTGTCTCAAAAACAGTTTTGAAAAAAGCTTTTTTTCAAGAAATTATGCAAGCTGTAGATGAACTTTAATACAATTTAATGTTGCTGTTCTGTTATTGCTCCTCGTGAGGCAATCTTCTTTTAGCAAGACCGCTTTAGGAAGGTCAAAGATCATAATCTGTCACACAATATTATGAAACTTGCTCAAAATCAATCTTTTTCACAGCCTTAATGATTGTATAATTTAGATTTCCTTTTATTCTTTTCCCTTCCCTTTATTTCCTTTTATTAAAGCAGATGAGAGAAAGCCTGCGGGACTGACTCAGAGTACATGTGTGGGAATAGTTGCCTAAGCAATATGCAAAGCCAAATGAACAACACACTGTAGGATTAATAGATTTTCAACAGATATTCAGCCAGGGACACCAAAGGAAATGAAACAATTGCCTGCAAATTACTGCACGGTATCGAAACGGAGAAAAAAAGAACGATCGAGTTTTAAAGAATGCTGTGTGTGTTTGTTCCGTTCTGCAGCAACCAGGCGGTGAGGATGCTGGAGTGCAGAGAGAAAGCTACACCGGACATGTTCGGAGAGCTGCTCCGCAACGCCAGCAACATGGGAGACCTGCGCAACTGTCCTGTGAGAGCACACACACACACACACACACACACACACACACACACACACACACACACACACACACACACACACACACACACACACACACACACACACACACACACACACACACACACACACACACACACTTAAAAACAACAGTGTACAAAATATAAACTGCTTTAAATATATCAGAAAATGTCTTCTTTCTAATTTAGAAAGAAGGTCCCCCCTCCCCCCCAGAAAATAGAAGGGTGATGGAATCCCATTTTTAAATATAATTTGCAGTGTAACCGTTGGTAGTTTTGTTGTTTTTCTTAGTTGTTCTGTGTTGATCAGCAGCTCATTTTCTTTTCCTTTTTCTTTCCACTTTCTATTACTGTAGCTTTTTCTGAGTTCTCTTCATCGCCCTCCTTCACAGTTTATGATCAGCATTGTCTTGCACAATGATATCAAAAGAAAATGTAATTGTGCTGGAAACAATCGCGCTAAAAATACTCGTCCTGAAGAATGTGAGCATTTTTGAGTCAAAATCGGCTAAACAAAAACGACGAGCTTTAGATACATTGGCTGCTGTTCTGGAGAGAGAGAGAGACAGAGGTGTAGGATGCCTTTGTTCTGCCTGGTTGTGTTGTGCTGCCACATGGGAAGGGGCTGCGGCTGAAAGCATCCAGCTCGGCCCCGCTCTCTGCCAAAGTGTCCCCACAAAGAGCCTCTTCAGCCGGGCCCCTTCACAGAGCAGCAGCTCCACCAACACTCCGTTAGATCGTTCACGACGAGCCACAGTCCTGAGGGAGTCTCACCTTTGTTTATCTTCCACCACTTGCAGCGCTGATCTTTTGTTAATACCACATTGGGCCTTGCTCAAACACAGTGAGGGTATTTGGATGGGAGCGAGGCTGCTGGGAGATACTGTAGAGTGGGAGGATGTTTGCTTTGTGCTAAAGAGTTGACCCAAGACTCTCGAGTGAAGTTCTAGAGTTTCATTTTACAGTTATTTAAAGTAAGCTCATATGTGTTTATTCTATTCGATATATAGATGCTGTAGTGGAAGATTTTGTTTACCACTTTATAAAGTAGATACATTTAAAATGGTAAATATTTTTATCAAAAAGCATGCCATCATTTGTTTCCAATCCTTTTCTAACTCTAATTACTTTTATTCCTAAATTAGAACATTGTTCACATGAAAGATTTCTGCTTTTTTGTATTTTTCAGTTTTCTTTGAACTGCTTTAAAAAAGGCAGGGTGTTTATTTTTTCAGTGGTTTCACATAAAATCAGAAACCAATAAGGGTTTAGCATTTCATAGGTAGGATATATAAATAGGTTTACAATCCAAACACATTTGGAATTGTTTTTGAAATGTTCCTTCAAAGTTAAAGTATGGAAGTAAAAGTTAAGAAAAAGTGTGGGAGAGAAACTCCCTCCGCAGGGAACTTTGGGATTTTAGCCTTTGCAGACCATTTCAACAAACTACAGGAAAGGGAAAACCCCATAAAGCGTAATTGGGCCCCTTTGATTTGTGCTTTAAACGAATAGATTTAGATAATATGGCTATACTGTTGCCATATAGCCATGTTGTTGATCTTCCAGAGCCAAACAATAAGTGCATACAGTATGTTTTCATACCGCCTCAGTGTAGATGTGTGGTGGATCAATTTTCACCAATCTGCCTCCTCAGCATCTTCATTGATAAAGCGAGATTGTCTCTTTATGTCAGGGCTGTATGGAGTCGTGAGGAATCATAAGCAGAAACATTTCCCTAAACTTGTTATATTCTGCTGTGAAGAATGCCACGATCAGCATTCTGCAAACCTACAGCATCCTTTGACCAGCAGCACTGTTATATAACTCACTCTCTCCTGGAAAGGCCTGCATGGCCACGGCAAAAAAAGGAAAGTAATCTTTGCATATAACCCTCAGAGCTGAGACCACACTGATCAGCGTTGTTGAAGCAGAGCAGATCTGTTTGTACTATCATGTGATGATGAGTGATATTGTCAGCGGCTTTTCCCAGCAGTGAGAGCTCACTGAGGCTGCGTGTCCTCAGCTAGCGGATAGCCTGTGTCTCGGTGCTCTGCTGTTTTGGCTGAATTTAGAAGCAGACCCTGGCAAAATACCTTCCTGCCATCTCGGTGCCAGCGCAACACAGCATGCCGCCCACAAAGGCAGAGCTCTGTGTGTGTGTGTGTGAGACTGTTGTGTTTGGCAAAGTGTGTGGTTGCCAGGGTGTTCTCCGGCTGTTTCCGAGTACACTCTGCCAGCACTGTGTGTGTGTGTGTGTGTGTGTGTGTGTGTGTGTGTGTGTGTGTGTGTGTGTGTGTGTGTGTGTGTGTGCGCACCAGCTCTGCGGTGGGTCATGACTCAAAGGAAGGATTCAGAACACACGGTGCTGAACTCAACAGAAGGCTCAAGGGACAAATACAACTCAGCACAGCGACGCTTTCCTCTCTTACATTCCTTTATCTCTCAACCTCCTTCTCAGTTTATTCGTGTGTGTGTATCTGCATGCATCTCTGCCAAACAAAGGGATGGTTTTAGCGACCACTGTCACTCTAACACAGGATGAATAAACCAGTTTGATCACACGCCCCTCTTCTCTCTCCCTCTCTCCCTCTCCCCCTCCCAGAGTAACTGTGGGGAGGTGCTGCGTATCCGCCGGGTGCTGATGAACTCTCCAGAGATCGTGTCCATCGGCCTGGTGTGGGACTCGGACCACTCTGACCTGGCGGAGGACGTCATACACAGCCTGGGAACCTGCCTGCGTCTGGGAGATGTGAGGGGACCACACATACACACACACACACACACACACACACACACACACACACACACACACACACACACACACACACACACACACACACACACACACACGCACACACACACATAATACGGTCAATAAAATGCATTAGCATACAGTATGTTACACATGTCTCTGAGAGCAGCCTAGCACGTACACCCGAACACTGACATACATATAAATAAATACCACTCCAAAATAAAATATTCTACCACATTTTTTATTTATCCTCTGCTCTCCTAATAGATATTTTGTTGACATACAATAACATAACCGTCCTTGTTTTTTGGTAACATTTGTCAAGTGAAAATATTTCAGATATGTTATCCTTTTTTAATTAGAAAAATCCATCAAAAAAACTATATAAAAACTCACCAATGGTTATCAATTTATTAAAAGAATATATATATATTTATAATTCTTCAAAATCTGTGTTATGGGATGACCAAGCAGAAATGATTAGAGTCCAGGTGCTTCTGTGTATCAGATTTTACTCATACTTATATATTTAGGTTGAGTTTGGTCCACAAGACTTCTGAGAATATTTTACTGCAATTAAAAAAGAAAAAAAACAATGTTCTCTAAGGATCAGATTGTACCCTCTTTTTTTAATATTTGATCATTTTGGTTCATGAGATTTTCAACAGCAAGTCAAATGTGGACCTTCAGACCACAACTTTTTTATTTTTTTATTTAACCAGATAAAAGCATTGAGATACAATCTCATTTTCAATGCTGACCTGGCCAAGAAGGCAGCAACGTTACACATAACACATAACACAAATATATAAAATACAGAGAACATAACTAAGAAAACAAAAGACGAAAAAGCAGTCACTACTTTGTGCACATTAGGACATTAAGAAAGGTGCACTACTTATTACTGCAAGAGCAGCTGGTTGTAAGGACTTCAGACAACTTCAATTTAAAACATGCTATTGAGACAAGTGCCGTCAGATTGAGGCGTGATTGAAAGTCATTCCAAGACCAAGGACCATAATAAAAAAGACTCCTTTTCCCAGCCTCAGTCCGCACAGCACTTAAAAGTAGTTTTTTGCTGCAAACGCTATAGTTACGTTTCCGTCTTAATTCCCATGGACATCACATTCAAATAACATGGGCCAGTCTGCAAATTGACTACCCTTAAAAATATTTTAGCTTCTTAAACCAGATTACAATCCTTTTTTCCCCTAGGCTTTAGGCTTACTTATTACATATTTTCTGCGTGGGAAGTCGAGTACCGCAGGCTACGTGATATGTTAAGTTTAAGTGCTTGAATCGTGACGAGTGGCAATGAAATCTGATGTGGCTTTGCTCCCATTTCATGAATGGATAATTCCTTTTTTCTTCCTGCCAGTCATGAAAGGGAAGACAAAAAGAAATTGGTCTTCTATATTAAAAATGTGCAACATAGGCAGGGTTTTCTATAAAAAAATAAATGACAGGACCTTAAGACGGCTCCTTTAATCACTTGAACACAGAATTTTGTCTTTTTCATGGTATACATTTTTTATTTCAGCACTTCGGCTAAACAGAAGTGCCAATATTTGTTTATACAGTAAATTGTTGAATATTCAAATAAATGCTGATCCACGCTTAACAACAGTCCTCCGTTGGCACACAGCTGAACTCTCCCCCTATGGAGAGAGCTTAACACTTGACATACTTTTACAGGCATGTACGTCATATAGTGACATAGGAAGTGGATATCAATCTGTTGGCTTGATGACGCAGGCAGGCTAGAACAAATATTTAATTTCATAGTTTTTGGGTTAGTTGGAACTCCAGAAACCCTGATGTATTTTCACACGCAGGAAAAAGTATGATTAATATTATATTTCCTCTCTAAATAAACAAAACCAGAAAATTAACCCCCACATCAGAGGTGCAAATACCCAGAGGCATGTTGAAACACACACTCGTGGTCCAGCATCGAGATATAAACACTTTCAAGGACACACATATGCTACTAGAAAAAAACAGTTGTGTAAATGTGCTCAACACTCAAATACACACTTAATGGCAATCATAAATACAGAATACAACCATGTGCATGCGTCAGAGGCCAGGAAACTCGACCAATCCCGTCGCAGCTCACACTGAAATGAGAAATTATAACACACGCCACACAATGGAACACCTGACTTCCATTATTCTGTTAGAGCTTCTGCTTACACACACACACACACACACACACACACACACACACACACACACACACACACACACACACACACACGAGACCCCTGATACTCTGTGTCATGACTGAGTAATGTTGATGCATTTTAATGCCCCTGTAACATCTCCAGACGCATTCTGAAGCGATACTCATGAATAATGGATCAGTGAATATGACTATGTGTTACAATGAGTCAAGTTCTTCCCTCTATCTTCTATCTTCCCTCTCCGCCCGCCGCCGCTTCCCCTCGTTATCATCCCGCGGTTGCGAGATGAAGCTAGTTGTCAAATACAAATCGGAGGCACAATCTATCGCATTCTCTGCTTTTGTCTGCGCGTTCAAATCAGCGGAAGTGAACCCATCTGCCTCCTGAATCCCTCATCCTCTTCCACTGCTTTCACTTTCTCTCTTTGTCTGTCCTCAGATTTCTCTCTTCTCAGCTTCCCCGGTACACTTTCATGTTCTATCACTCCTCTATTAGATTGTTGTAGTCCTGAAACGATTCATCTTTTACAATAAATAGGTAACATTAGGTCATTTATCAAGCGGAAATGCTGAGCACGTGCTGCATCCAACTTCTAAAATATGAGGATTTTTGTTTGGTTGTATATTGAATGTCCATGAGTTTTTAGATTGTAAGTAGTGTATGGCTGCAAGATATGAGGAAGAAAGGCAATGTGGTTGAACATTGTTGGATATTGTCCTAATGACTTTACCTGGGATAACAAAACAGATACGTTTACTCAGGTCTTCTGCTTGCAGTATGCTAAACAAGTGCTTGTTGAAAAAATACTATTTCTGTCACTCTAAAGTGCAGTTTCCTAATGATACTAATCAACTAATACAACAACAAAAATCAGAGAATACCTTTTTGAAAATGGAATGGAAGTTACTTTTATCTATGGAAATTGTGTGTAAACTTATGAGGAAGAATTGATTTAATAAGGTGATCCATCATTAGAGTAGTTGTTGGTTGCATTCCTAGATCAGTGAGTAAGGATATGCTTTTGCAGCAGCATGTGAATAAAGGGCAAAACAGAACACAATAAAATAGAAGGATACAGAAGGTCATGGTCTTAAACCCCTAACTTTTATCCCATTGTACTGCCTACGTAAGATGTGCAAAGCAGTAGTATTAATGTCCATCATTTCTGCATTTAACTGCAGTATACATGTGTATCACTGTGCAGTATGTACAGTATACAATGAGAGGAAAGTGAAGTATAACTGTATACAACAGATGAACCAGGTGAGCAAAAATGTGCTTTTATTAACATTATCTCCCCCCCCCTGCTGCACACCTCTCTTCCCTGCATCCCTCCCTCCCTCCCTGTCTCCTCCCCTCTCTCCCTCTCTCTCTCTCTGTAGTTGTTCTACCGTGTGACAGAGGAGAGGGCTCGCCAGGCGGAGCTCTACTTGGTGGGCATGGTGTGCTACTACGGCAAGCACTACTCCACCTTTTTCTTCCAGACCAAGATACGCAAGTGGATGTACTTCGACGACGCCCAAGTCAAAGAGGTGAGACACAGTTTGGAGGCTGCATGCTGCAACACAGGGAAGGGGGTGCTGCTACAGTATCTGCTGCATCTCCAGTTGTGCCTGCGAGTGCAGCTGCGATGACAAGAACTACGCTGTGTGTTAGTTCCACTGCTGCATGGTCAGCGGGGCGGCGCGCACATTGATTATGTGTTTAAATGTTTAATCCCGCCCTTTGTTTTATTCTTGCCGCAGGTTTGTGTGCTAGAACTGGTCTTATGGTGCAGTACTTCATGATTTATCTTCTATAGGGCTGGGAAATGATATACTGTATTGAGGAAAGCCGGGTTTGTTTGTGTCAAAGTGTGATATAAAGTGTCCTTGACCCTTTTATCAGTCTCAGTGTACACTTTGGCATATTAGGTTATTGAGCTAATGGAAAGCTGTGATAATATGATATCAATAAGGACACAGAGCAGCACAGTGTGTGTTTGACCTTCTGGTTTTGGTGGAATATGCGTAATGTTATATCCTAATACAGATAGATTTTCTTTATGTATGCTTGTGTGTGGGTTCATATGTATGTTTATGCGTGTGTGTGTGTATGTGTGTGTGTGTGTGTGTGTGCGTGTGTGTGTGTGTGTGTGATGCCCTGCTGCACCTCCAGATCGGCCCTAAGTGGAAGGACGTGGTGTCTCGCTGTATCAAAGGCCACTATCAGCCCCTGCTGCTGCTCTACGCTGACCCCCGTGGGACGCCGGTGATACTGCAGGAGAGCTCCAACCCCTGTACCAGCTCCAATCCACAGCTGGAGCTCCAGCACTGCAGCAGCAAGGCCGGTTACGACAGCGAAGACTCTGGTACAGCAAAGACGACACACTCTGCTACAGATCAGATTACTCAGTGTTTATCATCCACGCGGGGGGGCATGTGAGGTTACAGATTTAAAGCCCTGACCTTCAACCCTTTAATGCAACTTCTGCTTTTCTACTGCAGAGCTGGAACTTATTTCCCCTGCCCTTTCACTGTAAACATATGGAGATACAGGATTAACGAAAAGGTAATCCCTCTTTTTTTTCTTAAAATCTTTTTTTCTATCTCAGGTCGGGAGCCGTCTATATCCAGCGACACTCGTACTGACTCTTCCACTGACAGCTCGAGTCACCGCGCCACCCGCAGCCGATCCCTCCACCAGTCCACGGGAAGCCACCTCTCCAGCGAGTCCCAGACCACGGTGGTGTGTAATTACGACATCGGCACACCGCAGCACGGTGCCGACGCTGGAGGTAAAACTGCATTTCAAATCCAGTTGTAAAGTTACATATACAAGTTCAACTAGAAAACATTGTTAGCATTGTTGGCAGCGCCGAACAACTGCAAACACACAAGGGACTGCAGTGTTTTCAGGGAGAAAGTACTCAACTGCGGTACTTGTTTGAGGTACAAGTAAGAGCAATTAGTGGTAATGAAGTGCTGTGTGCTTCTCCACTGCAGTCTCTTTAGGTTATGCACCTCCATACTGGTTATTCTCATATTTACTAGCACTGTTGCCTACATAATTGCCCCCCTGTGGGATGAATACAAAAGTTATTGGATTGACTTTTTCTGCCTTTCTTCTCCCACGTTCAGAGTCAGCAGTGGAGGGTCCTCCCCGCCCTTCCTCTCCTCCTCTGCAGGAGTACAAGGAGACGGCCGTCTTCCTCCTCTCCTCCCGCCGGCCACTCACCTCCTCCTCATCCTCGTCTCGTCCCCTGTCCTCCTCCTCTTCGTCAGGAGTCGGGGGCTGTGAGGGCGGGGTTGGGGGCCCCCACTGGGAGGATGAAAGCACCAGCAGTGAGAGCAAGTCCAGGTACTGCACTGCTGACGCACACAAACACATCTCACTTACAGTAAGACCATCTTGAATTCACATTAAAACTGTGTAAAGTTGTATTTTTAAATGTTCTCATAATATCATCGTCTCACTATTAAGGTATGCTAAATTCAGTACACTATGCAGTTAATATGAGATGATAAAAGTATTCAAATCCTCCTTATTATTGGGGGACTTCAGTATTTTCCAACCTGGCACATATTTCCCCATGATTCTATGTCTAAGTAACGAATGGGGATAACAATGTTTGCAGTTGGTCCAGTATTGAGCGAGTACGCTGCAGAGGGCATTCGCAAAACAGAGAAGTTCAGAAATCTTGTCTTGTATTGTCAGAATCAGCTTAAGCTTCAGCCATGACACTGAACATCTTTAAGAAAACACTGAACTATGCTTTTTGTACTCCAACACACCAAGCTCTGACAACACAAAATCTCTGTCACTGTTGCTATTTCGTCTTCTGGTATCAACGTCATGTGACACAATAACAAACTCACCGTATCAAATAATAAGTGGACAAACGTTTTTTTATTTCCCTGTAGAATCCTTTCTATAATCAGTCACTTATTATAATAATCAGTGGTAAAACAATGTAATGTATGTTAAAGTCCTGCATTTAAGACCATACTTAAGTTAAAGTACTTTAAACACAAAAAGCGCTTTGAAGTATAAAAAGGATTTGTTACTTCGGTATTGTTTTTGCATTAAATGTTTAAGCTCTGCGTGGGTGGACTGACTGAACTCTCTATACCCTCTATAATTTGTTTTCTACCTTCTTATTTCACTGAGAGATACATTTGCACTTTTTGAGTAGTTTTCAAAAGTCGAGGAACTTGTATTTTGGTGGGATATCATAGTATTCTTTCCACTCCTAGAGTCATGTAATATACAATCTAGATATGGTACGGTTTAGCATTGTATTGTGGTTTGAGATAAAGCACACTCACAAGTGATACAAAATCTTGGTAGTGATTTTAAAATACAGGAAGTATCATGTATGACAAAAAACAGACTCTGCTTTCTTCTGCTTTTTTAAATTGAATCTTTATTAATGCAGGGATACCTTGTAATTCTTGATATCCTTATCTGTGATTCAACACAAATGGTTGTTTCTTAGGAACACATAAGGTAATGTTTGTATTATTATCTAGAATATATCCTAAATCTCGATTATTTTGGCAAGAAGAATCATGACTTAACTTTCCCATGTAACATCTTCTCCCCTTGCCTGTAGTTCTTCTGGAGGCCGCTACAGGCCGACCTGGAGGCCCAGGAGAGAGGCCCTGAACATCGATAGCATCTTCACCCGACCGAGAGGCCCCTCTCTGGGCTACAACACCCTGCCTGGTCCCTCTCGGCCTCCGGAGCCGCACAGCGTCTTTCCCTTGGCAGGCCCTGCTCCCCCCACACCGCCAGGACTGCAGGAGGCTGAAGGGAGGGAGGTTGGGGAGTATGAGGCAGGGTTTGGGCTGGTCGGACAGCCCAGGTCTCTGGGCGGCGGGCGGACAATGGGTCCTCCTCCCCCTCCGCCTCTGAGAGGGGTGGAACACCAACCGCGTCTGATCCAGAGGATGGAGAGTGGCTACGAGAGCAGTGAAAGAAACAGCAGCAGCCCCGATAGGTACACAAATATCAATTACTGTCTCTTCCTTTCTGTCTCCTTCGCTCATTTTCTTTCCCTCTCCTGGTTTCTCTGTCCCGTTCAATCTCATTTTATCAGCGAGAAATACGAATGGGACATTAACAACAAAAAATTGTCCTACAATAGTGGCCAGAACAACAAATCAATCATTGGACAAATTCGTCAAGAGACGTATGATCCTCCCTCAACATTTCTTCCTTCTTCTTCCTTGTCTCTTATTTTTCTTGTTTTCTTTTCCTTTCATCATGTCAGGGAGGTGGGGCAACAGAAACGGGTACTGATGTCAGGACCTTCTTGGCGTTCGGTGCCAAAGTCAAAGAGCAGCGGTGCCATCCTGCAGGAGCTGCCCTCACCCAGCTGGGGCGGCGGCACCAACACAGGTGTGTGCTCCTGCATGTGTTTGCATTTATCTACTGTAAGTGCAGCATTTGACATGTTTTCCTTTTTGTTCAGGCGGCCGAGGGCGCAGTGAGCTGGACGAGCTGCAGGAGGAGGTGGCGAGGAGAGCCCGCCAACAGGAGCAGCTGAAGCGAAGGGAGGCGGAGCGAGAGAAGGCCATGGGATTCAACCCCAAACCCAGCAAATTCATGGACCTGGACCAGCTCCAACACCAGGGTATGGCAAAGGAAGGGGGGGTGAAGAGAGAGACAAAAGGAGAGGGAGTGAGGGTGCAGGAGAGGTTAGAAGGTTTTAAGGAGACTGAAAGAGGTCAGTTCACACAACTTACCTGAAACATATTCGCTCAAACTTACAACAGTTTAAAGATACTATTTATTTGCTGGAGACTGTCTGCATGACGAGAAACCAGAATTAGTAAGAGAGATTATATTGATTTTCTGTACATTTGTGTGAACTGGCCCTTTATGAATAAGACAACTGCATTTAAAGCTGCACAGGGCAACTTTGTAGTGTTGTATACCCCCGATAGTAAAAAAGATCACTAACTTATTACACAATTTCAATCTAAATGTTTTACTTTGGACAAAAACAAAACCAAAGGGTACGTTTATGACCTTTTTAATGAGAGGGATGTGAGGCGGTGTGCCGATCCTTGGTGTGACAACATGGTGTGTTTTATGTTACAATTCTGCCCGCTGCAGCTCTAAGGTCACATTATCACCTGTTGTCCCGTTTAGCAGTCGCAGTGACTTGTGTGCTCTGTCTCCTCTTTGTCCTCATTCCCATCTGTTCGTCTGTCTCTCCATCTGTCTCACTCCGTCGTTATTTTTCATTTGTCTATTACTTCAGTTAGGATACTCTTAGTACTGTATATATTTGTTTTTTGCGTGTCATCCATGAGGGATTTTGTTGCCCGTGTGTGTGTGTTTGTTGCGTGTGCGTATGTGTTTGTGTCTGACAGTTCCAGCTGAGCTCTAGCTGCACTCCTATGTTCACTGACCATCACTGAGTGGGAACGTTTTTCAGGCTGATTCCCATTCAAAATCTCAATCACAGTCCAAACTCAAATCTCTAGGGAAAGGAGCTTCTGTTTCTCATTTCACAGGAAGATTGTGGGTTGTGTTTTTCTTGTTGGATGTGTGTGTTTGAGTATATTTGTGTCACAGTGCATCTTCGTGTGTGTGTGTGTGTGTTGTTGTGAGATTGTGCTTCAGAGCTGTAAACGTGAGACTCAGGTAACACTTAAAGGGCCACTCCACCAATTACACATGTCAAATTCGATGTATTTGTCGCAGGGAATAATGTGACTGTAATGTCTTCTGTGGTTTTAGAGCAGCTTCTGATGCTACCATTTCATTTACAGATGAGTCATTTAATTTCTGGCTTTGGGATTCAAGCTGGGGGCAAGGAGTTTTGGAAGTTTAAGCATATACCAGGAGGGGTCTTACAAAAACATTTAGAGGTGCTTTATAGGAAGTGTAGGATAAAGTGTTTTGGAAGCGTCACTCATCTTTTCCTGCACCAATTTGTCTCTGACCAAAAAATAACAGCTATCAGATACCTTGCTACGAAAATCTTTACAGACATGAATTGTTCCATGAGGATGAGTCATACTGACTATTGCCGTCTCATTAGGGATATATATATATCTTTATAAAGTACTACAAAAAAGTACAGCTAATTGTGTCAATTTAGGCTGATTAGCATATTAGCATGCTAACACCCTAAACATCAGCATTATATCATGTTGACTCCATAGACCGTATATAATATGGATGTATTCTCTGTGACGCCACACATTGGTTTCTGAGGAGTTGTTGGTAGAGAATAACTCCCGTCTAAGCCTTAATATAATTGATATGTTTTTTTTAGGCTATAAACATGTTTATTCATGCTGTAACGTTGGGCATGTAATATGGAGATCCTTGTGGATTAACTTCCTGTTGGAGCCAGTTCTGATTCGATGAACTGCAGAGTTTGGCATCCCGCAGTACCTCCTTTTTTTGCCTCTGAGTTTGCAGCTTAGCCAACATTAACAATTAGCTCGGGCCAACTGTGCTTAAAGACTGTAGACTCTCCGTCCTGTTTAATCCGTCTGTGGCTAGTCCATATTTAGGGGCGATGTGCTTAATTTCACTAGTCACAATCAGGACTTGAGACGTGTCTTGGGCCTGATTAGACTTGAATAATTTAAAGGAAAAAACATTTAAATACACCAACAGTTCAACAACATGCTCTGTCATTTTGATGTGGTCCTTATTTGTGTGTGTGCTCATGTATATTTGGTCCTTGCATCATATCAAATCATATTTGTCTATGCCTGTGTTACTATTTGAAGAACATATTGGTCTGAATGTGTGTGAGAGCAAGAGAGCCTTGTCTGAACGGCAGGTGTGCAGGTTGTACCCTCCAGCTCAGCACCTAGCTAAAACTATATCAGGGATTATTATGTTCTGTCCTGTCTGTCCTACTGTGTGTGCTTCAGTGTGTTCAGCCTCATGTACCTGACACACACACACACACACACACACACACACACACACACACACACACACACACACACACACACACACACACACACACACACACACACACACACACACAACCTCATACAGACACACACACACCCCTGTGAGTACACTCAACCTTGATGAAGTGAAAGGACGACTTGCTAGCGAACAGATGGCATCACTATCAGTGCGATTACGTAAATAATCTGGTTTCCCATATCCCTATTGATGGTTTTATCCGGACTCCAAACAATCTGCCTCAGTGTTTTAGAGGACGTTACAGCCAACGACAACAACAGAGCTGCCACCAACCTTCCTTTATTCTGTCTCTATCAATCAAAAGTCTTTAAAGTCAAGCCGGGATATGGGATGGCTGCTCTTTTGTTGTCCTCCTTGTTGTACACATATTTTTTTTACAAGTAACCCCTTTCAGGGTGCGTTCACAAGGCTAGGCGCCAAAGAAAGCTTTGTCTTAAAAGAGTGAACCTTTTTTCTCTGTCTGGTTTCTGCGGCTTCATGAACGTAGCCTCAACGTTGCTCCTCTCTTATCTAATCTTGACTTTGTTGACTTATTAACTACAGTCCACGTTTACATATCGATGCATTTACAATAGAGTTGCAAAGCGGGAGGAGATGCTGGGTGTGGAAGGATTTCCCCTCACTATAAAGTCTTCTTAGAATTTAAAAACTCAGAGAACTAACTCAGGAACTTTGTTATACTGTAGATTATTAGTATTACATTTGTTTACATTAGCTATCAAAGGTTACTGGTCATATCAGTCCAAACCAAGTTTGAGATGTTAAACACCTAAGTGAATTACATTGAGCCTGGGTATGTTATATTCTTATTGATTACACTTTAATTTATCATACACTATACAGTATGTTATATTTCATTTTATAAAAGTGCCCTAATCTAGTTTTAAAGATAAGACAAGTTTTGGATTTTGAGTTTTAAGTGTTTCAGCTTGAATTCTTTATAGTCTTTTCCCATCAGTTTGATGGTGAGATTCTTAGTTACCCATGAGTCCCAGCAGCTATAGCTATAAAAAAAGAACATGCAAATCTGAGCCGATCCTACTGCGCGTTTGTTGTCAATGCGAAATATAATGAAAAGTGGCTTTACCTTTGTATAAATTAACCTATATAAACAAGTTCTCCAACTACAACAGAAACGAATCCTCCTACTTTGCAACTCTATACATGTATAAATACAAACCTTGACTTAGAGGAGCGTAATGCATGCCGGCCCCCTCATAACCACTCCTTCTACTCTGCTTCTATTTTCTCCTTTTGTCTCACCTGTTCTGTCATTCTCATATTTTGTCTCTGTCTTTATCTTTTACTCTTTCCTTCTGGTATTCTTCTTTGATGTTTCTTCTTCTACTTTTGCATTCGCCCACTCTTTTTCCTTTCTCTGCCACTCCGTCCTTATATCTTTCTTCTTCTTATCTCCCGCTCTGTTGTTAACATCCTCAGCTGTGCTCAGACCCCTGCATGAGGCTAACGCTCATAGCGGATTGGCTGTAGCTGCGTGCATGAGGAGCACTGGGGGCCCAATCAAACGCAGGCAGGAACAGGAAATGGAACGGGAGACAGGAAGCGCCCGCCCACAGGGGCCTCGCAGGTACCATCACTGTCCACCCTTATGTGTCCGCAGCGGTGCCTGTCTCAAAACCACATCAGACCCCCTCCCTCCCTCCCCACCCTCCCTCCCTCCCTCACTTCGTGTGTGTCCTCAGCTCAAGCTGTTCTCAAACCCACCTCAGGATTCCTCAGTGGGGGTCCTCTGGGTGCTGGCTGTCCAAAAACACCCTCATATGTGTGTCCTCAGCTCTGGCTGCCCTAAATTCCCAGATGCACTGCACTCTCACATCCTGCTGTATGTGTGTATGTGTGTATGTGTGTCACACACACTCGACTTTATACAGTATTCTTTTGTGTCTGTGTGTTTGATGCAGTGCAGTGAAAACCTGCTTTGCTGGGCTCTGTTGCTGCCATCGAGAATGAAAAGAGAGACAGAGTTGCTCTCGGCTTTTCCGTGCTTCAATGCTTCCCTGCATCGTTGTTGTTGTGCTGTTCTTTGTAGCTGTGCGCTGCCAAGGCTTCCCTCGCTCTCTGTGTGCCGCTGATCTGTCCCTCTATGCACTCACTGTAAAGCTGCAGTCCGTCTCTGTGTGTCTGTTCTGTGTGCTGCGGAGCCATTGTAGTCACAGATCCTGTGCTGTTTTTGTGTTACCGTCACTCTGTTCTCCTCCTGATGTGTTAGTTTTGCTGTGTGACGAAGGGAAAGTGAGCTTCAGTTGTCATAGAGTTTCACATTTAATATTTAAAAAGAGTGAGGCTGCTCATCTCGCAGCTGAGATATATCATTAATAACATTTAATGATAATTATTAGAATTGCAGGCAAGTATAACGGGGTCCAAGCATGTGGATTTCTTTAAGTTTCACACCATTGTTAAGACAAGAAAAATATGTCAACTTTTGTTTTGGTGGTCAATTGTCACAATTGTACGGGAGACAATACAAGCTATTACTTATACTAAAGCAATTGTTTTTTATTGCTAACTGTTTTTAAATAGGAAAAACTTTAAAATAGACAACATTAGCTAAAGGAACACTGAAATGTTAATTCAAGTGTTTTCTTTCTAACTGAATGAAGACTGGTTATGAAAGGTCAACATTCACTAGTGCATGAAAGAAAAATGGTTTACAACATTACATGTCATTTATTAGACACTTACAGCGACTTACATAGATTCAGTACTGTGGACAATCCCCACAGGAGCAATTTGGTGTGAAGTGTCTCAGGGACACAAAGACATGCTGACTGCAGTGGGACTCGAACTTGCTATCCCCTGATTCAAAGTCCAGCACTCTAACTACTGAGCCACAGCCACCTCATATACATGAACTAATAATTATGTAAAGAAAACACACAAAATAACAAATATTTTACAATGACATAGTTTCATTTCAAGACTCTTTCTTATGTTAGAATCTTAGGTTAAACTTTTCTGAGTTAGCAAGTTACAGATATTGTGTCTCATAAAGGGTAATTCAAACTTAAAATCGTCTTTATTATTATTACATATAGTCCTCCTGCTGCGCTTTAAACAGCTTAATTACTGCGCATGGGTGTTACAATGTGTGGATTTTGACTTAGTCATGTTAACATCGGATTAAGTCTCTGTTTCAATTCAACTCAGCATGAAAATGAATAAATGTTCAATCCAAACTGTTAACAGCAGGATGGAGGCAAAGAGGAGGAGGTAAAGCTCAGCGCTCAGCCTCTTTTATTACCTTCCTCCTCTCCTCTATTGATCAACACACGCCTCTGATTTATAGCTCGCTGCTGCAAAGCCTGCTGGGTAATTACTAAGGCTGAAAAGAGACGGGGGAGTTAATGTGGGGGATGGGGGCCAGCGTTCACGTCGACACAGACAGGTTTGCGCACGCTGTCTTTAAAAATACAAATTTAACGACTATCTGTTCACACACACACACACACACACACACACACACACACACACACACACACACACACACACACACACACACACACACACACACACACCCACACACACCGAGTCTCTGCAGAGAGGCTCCTCTAATGTTCAACATACATCATATCCTCCACATATCAATGCATGTAAATCATTAAAGTAATATAGCGTCCCCCCGAGACTGAATTACTCTAGATTGTCGAAGCCACATTTATTTTCAGTGTTGATATACAGCACCGGAGCAGCAGAAGCTAAATTGCTGTTTTGATAATCACATTAAAGTCTTGAGTTGTTTGAGGTGGATGTGTTCAGATCCGAGAGTTCAGTGTGGTGAATGTGCAGCAACCTGTCATTAACAGCATGGCAGTGAGAACCCATACACAGACGAAGCGATGCTTGCACAGGGCTGCATCATTGTGTGTTCCTAGCTGTTTGTTCCTTTTGAAAGCAAGCTTGTGTGTGTGTGTTTTCTGCTTGTTTATCCCGGTGTGCAGTTGTGACCTTCCCTCTATGCAGTAACTCACCTGACGTCAGAGCAGCTCTGTTTTTTGGGGTTTTCTTTTTTCGTGCTGCATGCTGACTGACACCCTCCCTCTCTTGTCTCCTCCAGTGGACAGCCTGGCCCGGTCCAAGTACTGCTGACGCCCAATCAGGAGGAGGAAGAGGACCAGGCAACGCCCAACCAGGACGCTGCTCTGGGCCCGGGCCCGCCCCCTCCACCCTATCGCCACGCTCCCCCTCGACCCGCGCTCACCCTCAGCATCCCTCACCCTTGCGCCCCTTCCAGCCGAGGGGAGGAAGAGGAAGAGGAGGAGGAGTGTGGATGCATGGGGAGGAGAGGGTTGGAAGGCGAGGATGGGAGGGTGGGGACGGGGGTGAGGCTGTGCGAGTTGCTGCAGGCAGGGGGGGTGAGTGTCAGACCCCTGGGGAAGCACTTAGCTATCTCTCTGCCCTCGCTTCCTCTGCGTCTCTGGGATACACACACCATACACACTGCACACTCCACACACCATGAACACACACACTCACGTCCTCCTCCTCCGTCCTATACTCCTGCACCATCTTCCCCTCTGGAAGACTCCGAGCAAAGGAAACCTCCCTGGCAGCCCCCCGAGCTTCAGTCCCCCACCGGTGCGGCTCATTGGCCGGGGCAAGAAGCCGCGGCTGACAGCGCCACACGTCATTGGTCCTCCTGGAGTCTGGACCGTCCCGACGCCGTGGTGACTCCGTACGACACCCCCCCGGACCGCTGTGTCCCCATCAGGCCGCAGACCACCAGCCAGCAACACAGCTACAGTTGCCAGTCCTCTCCAGGGCACTACAGCTCCCAGCATGCCCCAGGGCAACAGAGTGATCACCGCTGTGACCGCGAAGAGGCTGAGCTGTCTGAGCTTGACTCCCTTTACCAAGCCAGTCTGCAGGCTGGAAGGACAGGTACACACACACACACACACACACACACACACACACACACACACACACACCCCTACAAGTTTGTACAGAACAGAAACTTAAAAGTAATCTTTTAGTCATTATTGAAATGATCAGAACATTTCTCAATGTTCATCAAAACAAGTAACTGTATAAGCCAATGAATAAGCATTAGCTTTCATTATGTTTTACATTGTTAATAGAGAATATCTGGCTTTCAGGTTGTTTGGGAAAAGAACATGCAATGTATAGTCTCTACCCTGAGCCTTTTGAATTTCTGAATTCATTATTATCAATGAATCAGTACAAAAGGGAAAAGATGAATTGATACTGAAGATATTTGTCAGTGGTTCGTAATTCTCAAAACAGAAATTCAAATTAACATTCAGTATGTATATAGTGAAGTTAGATTCCTTACTTGAGCCAATCCTATAAATGTACTAAGAGCATTGTATTAAAAACCATGTTTAAAATGGTTTAGAAATGTAAAAAAAGCAACAACCCTATACTAATGTAATGTTCATACTGCTGTCATTTTAAGTAGTTTTTTTGTATGTAGTATTTTAACACTGAAATGTCCTACATTTTTATATAATAAGAAAATGGTAGCACCAGAGTATTTCTGCAGACAGGTTGTTGGCTGGCTGATTTGGGTCAATTAAAAAGTATTGCCTAGCACCCCTAACCGAGGAGGCCTTTTGGAACTTTAAATTAAATTTTAGCCAACAATCCAAAGCTTAAAGAAAAGATAAATTACTGAAAAATGTTTATAAATCAATGCAAAACACATATTTAATTACCTGAAATGGGGCAACCATAAAAACAATATTTTGTGTTTGAACAGTTGACTCAGTAAGTGTGATATATTGCATTAATAAAGGGCCAGACCATAATTATATGAAATGGCTAAATAATGTAAAGCTTAATTTAAGAACGTGGAGAGAAATAGCGTTGAGTTTATTTAAAAGCTGCCACTAAATGAACAGACATCATGAGTGTTCCTGTTTTGACCTCCTTCCCTGCCTGTGTGTTTTTAGGGTGCAGTCCATCAGAGAGGCTAATATCAAGGGTGGGGGGGCAGGGGCGCTCCAAGACCCCCAACGCAGACATGGAGAGGAGTGTGTATGGGGCAGACAGCACCAGCACCCCCACCTACCTCAACAAGGTAACGTCTTTTTAACCGATCCCCTCTAACGTTTGCAGGTCTTCAATTGGATCCATTTCCCAGCGTCTGACTGACATGTTCTCCTTGCAGCCAATGACGTTGCGGGATCTGCGTTTGGGGGCGGGGCCTGATGATGGGGAGAACCTGAGACGAATTGGACGGAGCCTGAGCGGCACCGTAGTGACCTCGCGCCGCGGCCGCCTGACTGCAACCCGCAGCTTTGTGAGTGTGACTTCCTGTGCTCTGCTGCCTCCCTGTGGCCGTGCTGTTAAACTGCATCAGCCTGAATGTGGTGTCGCCGTAGAGCTTTTGCACATCCCTGTGCTCTATCCTCTCTCCGTTTGTCTCATTTCTCCCTTTTGTGCTGCTTTCCAACCTGTCCTCCTCTCTCTGCTTCTCTTACCTCTTTCAAAGGTGAAGCAGGCTGATGTCAGTGCCTCTGCTTTCTTACTTCCTCTCTTCTGAATCCCTGTTGCTCTTCCACCACTATCATCTCCTCCATCCTCCTCATCACCAACACCTTCTCATCACCACCTCCCTCCTCTGCTTCACAGGTAAACACTGTGCTGGGCTCATGTATGACATTATTACATACCACTCAGCTGCTTAAGAGGACTGCATATATCTCCTTGGTTACGCTACTTTGAGTTCCAGATCATTTTTTGGTGCACATTTTGTTTTCTGGCAAACTCATCTGGCACAAAGTAGGCTAAGCCACTATTAGCACATAGCTCAATCCTGTGGACGTGCACTAATTTGTAAATACTGTGGAAAGGCAGGTTATATTCCACAAACTCCAACGTGCATCCTTTCTATAAAAACAGTTTTATCCATCTCTAAATTCATCATTCTTCCTTTAGGACCCACTCTGATCACAAAATGATCTCCAACTTTTGAAGCCAAAATGACACAGACATAAACTGCAGCCTTGTCTGGTTTTTTGCTTGCGTCATTAAAGGTCTCTCTGTTTTGGAGATGTTTTTATATCCTGAGGAAACGGCTCAGGTTTTCACACTTCCAAAGGGCAAAAATCACACCTAAATGTGGGAGCACATTGATCTGAAATACTTTTATGAGATGCTGTTATTCTCTGATATTTGTTTTCAGTAATGTCTCTTACCCTGTATCATTGTTAGTTTTCTTCAGCTCTTACATTCTTTTTTTCAGAATGGATACATTATACATTAAGCTGAAAGTTGAACCTGAAATGTGTCAGTAATATTATAATTACAAAACAGAGGACTAAAAACTTTGGTTAGACACTGGCACATTTTTTAAATCAGTTTCAGATGTGAGGTGAATTACAATGTAACAAGTTGCCCAGATATTATTATTATTTTATCTAAAGGGAGATGAATAAGCAGGTTTCTAGTATTCTATGTATTCGATATTATCTATTTCAAGGTAATTCCTAGAAAATATGATACTATACATGTACATGCTTTGTGTGTTTTTTTTACACAGCATAAGCACACATTAATTTGGCATATGACTAGTAAAAGGAATATACATGACTATAAATACAAGACATCTTAACCACATGACAACCAAAATATATATGTTTGTAGCTTTTCATTTCTTACTCATAACACTTACATGTGTGGAAGACTCAACTCACTTTACATTGAATTCTTGTCAAATTTCAAAGATCCAAAAGTAAAATGACGACTTCAAATTTTCGATCAGTTGATATACAAGACAGGGAGAACAAAATAATTCAACTAAAATGGTGCAGCAACAACGACATATTGTGTTTGAACGGTTTGTGTTCAATACATAATTCATGTTGTGAAAGCGAGTTGGACAACATGTTCTACTTAGTGTTAGATTGAACTAGAACATGAGGAACATCAGGGATCAAGTACAGTCATGTAAAAGCTGCACCAAATATCACATTTAAACAGATTTAACAGTACAGATTATGCTATTTGTTCAGAACATCTGTATGTGTTCAGGATAGCAAATTGAACAATCCATGCTTCTGTAAATCTTAATTCCTAGAACATTTGTGGCCGCTCAAACTGATTGATGGATTTCTAGGTGAATAAATACTTGATTTTTTCTGCTCCAAATCTACTTCACAGTTCCTTAAACTTCTCTCACTGTTTTAATTCCAGGTGCACCTTCATACTAATCTGACCTGTTGTCTCCTCTTTTATTTTAGGAGCTAACAGGGAGTACAGGGAGTTTCTGGCTGTGTCTGACGGGGGTCAAGGTGTCTTCTGACCGGAGTCCCACTCTGCTTCACTAACGTCTCACAGTGTGGGGGGGCAGCAGCCATGACGGACCTAGAATTGGCTCCGGAGGATCTACTCCTATTATGTTCCTCCTTCTCCTCCCTTAAACAACATGCACGCACACATGCACATCTGCACTGACGTAGAGCCTCCCTCAGCGCCTGCAGCACCCTGCTTACCTCCCCCTACTCCCCCCCTCCCCTTTCTTGACCTACTATTCTGTCTATGCAGTCACTCTGACCCCCAAACTACAGCCTCAACCTTCCCACCTACTTCCCGGGACTCTTGTTTCTCCCCCCAGAGAGGTTTCTCTGTGCGAGCGTAAATTCACCCCCTTCATCCTAAAGGAACCTCAGCTCAGGGGGGAGACCCCTACTAAGTAGCCACGTCTCTTCCTCTTTCTTCACGGGCATTTCCTGTTGGACGCACACATAGCCGAACTGGGTCTGTTTTTAGATGGACTGCCATACTTTTTTCCTTTTTCTTTTCGTTAGTTTACAGTAAACCCGCCCAGAGACTGAACTCACTAATAACAAAAAGTCATGTACAGACTTATGAAACCTGTATATTAATTAATAAGACCTTATGGAATGTTGATAATGATAATTAACGAATATTGATAAATTTAAAGTGGTACTTCCTCATGTCTGCTTTTCAAATAGGAGTGGAGTGCACTTCACAAGTGTCTAGCTGGAGATTCCGCCGCCCCCTAAACCTGCTCGCTGACCTAAATGACAGCTCTCCCGTTTCTACCGGGAGATTAAACAAGAAAAGCGCTTCTTTTTTTTCTCTTCTTTCCTTTCTTTCTTGCTGTCTTTGATTCACGCTTGTTCCTTTTCTTCCAAAACCGGAAACAGTAGCACCAGAAATTGGACACAGGGGAGGAAAGTCGAGAAGGAATGAGAGTATGTACATTAGGAGACCCTTCTCTTGAGTATTTATCAGTGAAAACATTGATTGACTTAAGTGCGCTTTACAAGGTTACATGGCAGAAGTGCACTTTCCGAAAGCTATTTGACTGAAAAGCAGCTCGATGGCAGTTATTTTACTTAAAGGCCTCAGGTGAATTTCAGTGGCACTTACAGATTCACACTATTGTTTTCCCCTCCCACTGAAACTTGTTTGAGACCTCAGATGTTAATAGGAAATGCTCATCTTCAGCCTCAGACAGTGACATGTCTAATATGAATATGCTTTATATGATATATATGTATTAGAGGTATATTTTCGGCCAGTGAGCTATCTTCTTCAGAGATGTCAACCATTCCTCAGTTGTATGAACAGTTATAACTTCATTCACCCCCTTTACTGAGGAGCGTTCTGACATGTGTAGAGTACATTTATTATATGCTTTATTCTATTTAATAATATATACAAATAACAAAGTCCTTATACAACAACTGGCCAATGTAAAGTTCTTTTAGAATTTACTGATGTTGATTGATCGTTGTAACTAAACCAAAGGTTGGCACTTAACTCAGAGAGCGTATTTAACATTGCTGTTTTTATTTTCATTTAGATTTTGTTGTTGTTTTTGTTAGTTTTTTTGGGTTTCTGGATTTGGGAGAATGTAGCCAATTGTAGCGCATGAGTCCGCTATGCAAATCAACCTTCCCTCACGATCCTGTATCGGAGACAGCCAGGAGGCAGACACACCCACCCACGGGCGCCCTCATGGACTCTGGCAGAGACACGGAGGGGTGGAGGAGATTTCATGTTCAATGCTGCTGGTGAACTTTGTTGTTCTGCATCTAACTGCTATGTTTCAACCTATGGAATGCAAAAAGAGAGCAACAAGGAGGTAGTGGGGAGCAAAAAAAAAAAATGGAGAAAGAGCGAATGAATGTAAACTAAAGGATGAAAGTGTGTGTTTGTGAATAGTGTGAGGGTGAGAGACACGAGAGGTTCTGAGAGTGAAGAGTTTACCACTGCAGGTACATTGTATGTGGGTGTGTGTAGATTGTGTGTGTCAGTTCTGGGGTGGTGTTGCTCGGGGAAAGAGGGAACCTGTATTTTTGCAATAAAGTTATTACCAATGCACTCCCACAGGGGGCGTAACCACCGTAAAATGTCTGTGTTATCCTTTGGTTGAGGGAGTGGTGGAACATTTAGTTTTTAAACTTTAGTTACTTTCAAGAGTCAGGATGAAATGCCAAATATAATCAATAAATCATTTATCATGTTTTAATATACGTTTTCTCGGTTAAATTCGCAAGCAAACCATAAGTGTAAAGAAGAACTAAAGAAAGGTCGTCCAGATGCAAAATTAAAGTCACAATGTTAATTTATAAATAATATTAATCCAATAAAGTATCAGGAGAAGAGAAACGTTAACGACCAAATACAAACCAAGAAACACATTATTAAATTCTCTAAACCTACGAATGATATAGCATTTTAAGACTTTTCCTATTTCAGAAAATGTTTTTTGTCCCATTATATACACTGAACAAAAATATAAATGCAACACTTTTGTTTTTGCTCCCATTTTTAATGAGATGAACTCAAAGATCTAAAACATTTTCTATATCCAAAAAATAACCATTTCTCTCAAATATTGTTCACAAATCTGAAAAAATCTGTGATAGTGAGCACTACTCCTTTGCTGAGATAATCCATCCGTCCTCACAGGTGTGGCATATCAAAAATGCTGATTAGACAGCATGATTATTGCACAGGTGTGCCTTAGGCTGGCCACAATAAAAGGCCACTCTGAAACGTGCATTTTTGCTTTATTTGGGGGGTCTTTGGGGGGTCCGAAAACCAGTCAGTATCTGTTGTNCGACGGCACTTTGAGCGTCTCTGCAGGATTCCGTCCCCTAATACAGTTGGCTGCTCGGACAAACACATGTTGGGACGGAAGACATCCAGTGGTTTGGCTTTTCCGGAAGCATCCTACAAGTGCTCAACTGAAAGAGGACCTACAAACACACACAAAGAGTATAATACAATTCTTGAGATTGGGGATATTTACTTCCCATTCTTTCACTTTTTCTGACATTTTCAAACACCAAACATGTCGTTAATGTGCTTTACGTGAATAACTACAGACATCTGAAAGCCTGTACATTAGTATATCACACTTTATCAGAAGAAATGCAGGAAATGACTTTTTTAAATGCAGTATTGTTTCGATTTATGGCGCCAACACAAAATATTCGCGCTCTGTGCAAACCTCTTTGACTCCTAATATGTCAACAACATGAAACAAGAATATGAACCTGGCTTTATCCAATGTTCACACAAGAGTTCTACATCCTGACACATCCTTCATCTCCACTGTCTCAACTGAAAGAGGACCAGAAACACATTAAAAATATAATAAAATGTGGAGACTTTGGGATATTTATCTCCCATTCTTTTACTTTTCGGGCATTTTACAGACCAGACATGTCGTTGATGTCACTGTTTACCAAACTACCACTTTTTCTGAAAAATGCATAAAATGATGATATACATGTAATTACTGGGGTTCCATTTCTTCTGATTACCTAATTTGGGTGTGCACATTTGCCACGCGCAAACCTACCTCTTTTGGATTTGGAAAGGTTGGCATGTATGATGTAGTTGTACTAATAGACACTTTAAGGATGCAGTCGTTGATTTGTTGCAATTGTTTTAAGTACGATTTTTAAAAAAACAAAATAAGTATTCCAATTTGTATAGAAGTTTACATGAATGATGGATGCTACTTGTCTACCAAGCTAGCTAGTTAACATTATCATTAGCTAGTAATTCAGCTAGTCCTTTCTCACAGCTCCTCCCTCCTGTCCAGATTGCTCACTTACTAGCTCCAAAAAAACAAGATGGCCATGATTAAAATGCCACACTCAAAATGTTAGTCCATTGACAAATTACTTGAGTCTCAGTGACAATTTAAACTACTTTTTGAATGATGTATACATTCAACTTTTCATTCAAGCTCACTAGCTAGCACTAGCATTGGCCAGTAATGTAGCTAGTCACTCTTCCTCAGCTCCTTCCTCCTGTACTGTGCAGATAGGCCTACAGTATATCGGTCACTAGAACTACTTCAAAAAATGTCAAGCTTATTTTAAAGCTGCTTAATGTTTAAGATGTTTGATTGAGTTTAAATTCTGTTTCAGAGAATTTCTATCTTAACATGCACACAAATTTAGAGAAAATAAACGATATATTTTACTATGCACTGTTGTTCAACTTTAACCCTAACCTGTTTCAACCCTATCTCTTGATAAAAAGGTAGTGGTAGTGATAGTGTTCTTCTAAACGGATTATTCTGGACTGTGGAGTTCGCTCACCCACTGAGTTTTGGCGTGAGGCGCTGCCCCGGACTTTGAAGGCGTGCTTTGGCCCTCGGTTCTTCTCATTGAAACTCAAGCTCTTTGCAACTTTGCTTGGACTGGCCTCAGTCCCCTCCTCCGGAGACTGAGCTTTCCCCTTGGCGACGGGAGCCTTGGAAGGACTTGGGAACACCTTGTCCTTCAGGCTGGGCTTCCGACTACAGAGAGTAAACAATGACAAGGAAATGTAACAATTTTTTTGATGCATCATTTAATTAAATACACTAACTAAATGTATTTATCCTACTGCTTTCTTGTGCACGTGTAATCTTTATAATTTGACAAATTCTGCGCTGATGTGATGATAAATCTTACCTCTGTGGAAACGTAAAATTGGGCAATGTCCTACAGCAGAAGGAGTCCATATACGAACATAGTGGAGCATTCAGTGGGTCAGGCAAGCAGCAGGAAGCTACAAGCAAGCATGCATGGGAAGCAAAGTGACACTGCACGTCTCAAAAAGGCCGAGCTGCGGTCTCACTGTGTGCAAAAAAAGTGAACATAAATCATGCAAAATAATTCACCATCATACTGTGAGCTCCGCCTGATACTCGGGAACTGGTCAAAGGAAACGCATTAAGTATTCAGCAATATGCACCTTGCCTGCTGAACAGAAGTTTGCTGATTAGGCAAAAAAAAGGGAGCAAGCAAATAAACTGCATAGAGACATTACTAAACAGAAACCAGAGTGTGACAGGGCGGTAAACAGGGATGTATATCTGCATTATCTTTCCAGAGAAAAAAGGTATGTCGCATACTATTTTTCACTAAGCTATATTTTTAAGTCCTTTCCCTCCATGTGTTTGAGTAGGTAAAGGAAACAGAGGTAGGAATGGAAGAACACATACAGACTTGCAATGCAGACTTAGTATCTGTGCAGCAACTATACCTAATAGTTCTCGGACAGCACCCGCAAAGTCTGTCTTTGTGTGCATTTTCACTACTGCAGTGGTGGGTAGTAGAGGAGACACAAAAAGATAAAGTAGCAGTGGATACAGTCACAAAAACAGCAGTGTGTGTGCTATACTGTGATGCCAGTAACATTTTATTGTGACTGATTTATAATACAGATTTGTTGTATATAACTAGCAGTTAGTTGAATTTATTTTTCCTTTTGTTACTTTTCCACATGTGTAATGAATTGAAATGCCTGCTAGTATCTTCCTAGGGCATACAATAAGCAAATAGCTTATAAAGGACCAAGTCATGATAAAGTGTTACTACATCTGTAAAGATAACACTTGTTTCTTTAGTCAAAAACAATGTGATATAAATCAAGCTCCTAAAGTGTTCAAAATCACTTTTTTTGTTCCCAAGCTGATGCTGAAAGCCAGAGAATCAAAGAACAGCTTAGTGGTGAGAAAGTGGGCATGAGGCCAAATTCAGCTGATCTTTGGTGCACCATGTGAGCAAATGCAGCATGACCGTTCTTGAAGGAGTTACTTAACATACAGACACATCCATGTCGGACACGCAGGACTTACAGCACACACTCACACACAGATATACTGTACACACACACTCCCTCAAGAAGAGTGCCTCAGCAGCAGCTAAGAGCAGATTTGAAGAGAAGCCAAAGGGAGGTGAAGAGAAATAAAATGCTAACAGATCACAGACCTGGGAGAGGTTTCAGCTTGAGAGTCCTTCCTATGAGGAGAGGAGAAACTAACTGTTACACTGTATGTCATAATTAACATCGAGCCATGTTGTTAAGGTTGTGGTAGATTAGCCCTGGAACATGTTCAGAGAAATATTAAGACAAGTTGCTAGATGTAAAAAAGTGTGCTTCTTCAAATTCAATTTACATACAGTATAAGACCAGATAAAAAAGATAAGAAATGACATGAGCCATTTAAGCCATTTTAGGCGGCTAAAAAAAGCTTTGAAAACAACATTAAAATATTGTCACTTTATATGGTACATTTCAGACAATGAGCAACACAGACTTTAATTCATAGTTTAGCTGTCTCTATCAAATTAATATAAGCATTTCATTAGAATAAAAAAGAGGACATACATAGCTTTCGGGTCTCAAAAGTAAAGCCAAAGCCAAAATGTCTCAAACCTGCATTATCTCTAATGTCCAGCAGGGGCAGCCCTATTGGTCAGAAGCATAGACTGTATATGATCAGAAGTCAAATTGTATAGAAGTCTATGAAAAAATCCCCTTACTTCTCGCTTGATTTATTACCACTCTATACATGTTCCAAGTGAGTTTATGATCTCAATCCCTAGTTTGAAGTCTTCTTCAATGCAAGAAATGTATGTGGCCCTCAACGCTACACTATGTTTACCAGTTGAATTATCAAAGGTTGTCGTTTCGCTTGATTGCCAGTTAAGAAGTGAATTTTTTTTTTTAGTATCCCTTTTCTTTTTTAAATATGCATTTTTCCAATCCAAAGATTATTTCTTCACTGGCAATAACCATTACCCATCGTCACTATGTTCCCCATTATACAGTGTAAGCATCCCAGCATCCTTTTCATTATCATCTTCGGCTTTGTCAATGCTCATGTTTTTACCTGAATGACTTTCCCTTCAGATTCCTCAGCAGGTCCAGCTGATTCAGAGGTGGAATGAGTCTGGGAAAAGACAAAGAGCATTTCTGTCAAGGAACTTTCAACTCAATGTCGAAAAGTTGAAGCTCGCCGCTGGGCACTTTTAGTTTGGCAGTTCTCTATTCTGCTGGTCATCGCCTTTTTACCTACAACTGGAATGAAACCAAAAAACAGAAGCCATTTTCAATTAGAAAAGACAAGCAGCTTCTTCTAGACACATATTAGTCAGAAATGTGTGCCGTGAAAGTCTGGCATGGCAGCTCAACTGCTGATTCATACAGTTGGGCAGTGAAATAGGTGGTTCATTTTACAAAGTAGCCACTTGCAGTGTTTGTCTTTGGAACTATGTTTCAAAAGAGGTGTCACTGCCAAGACACCAGCATCAGCCACTGTACAATTACCCTTATTTAAGCAGAAAGTGAAAGTCACACCGGTGAGCGATGCTTCAGCGATGCTAGTATCTGATTCAACAAATGAGTATAGAATACAATAAGAAAAAGAATCAGATTTCCACTTAGCTTAGTTTTCAGAGGGATGGCAGAATGTGATATGGGAAAACAGTATTTATTGAAAATGTAAAGCATTATTCAGACATATCCATCACTTACCTGTACATTGGGATCGCTACAGTCTGTTCGTAAAAATCCCAAGTGTACATCAGATCTGTCCGGGAAAGGTTGGTAGCATAAAACCTCCAAGCACCCTGGAAAGAGACAGGAAACGACTTTTAATCTTTTCGTCAGAAGCACAAACAGGAATCAAATCTGCTGTAAATCCCATAAATGGTGTTGTTATCATTCAGTTTTTACCTGGATGAGGCCTGCTGCAGGGGTACGTCTCTTCTCAAAATGTTTCTGCCTGTGTTGCTCTTGTACCTTCAGGGCAAAGCCAGAACCCAGGATGCCCTAAAATGATAAAGGTATCTTTATTGACCTCTATTGGCCAGGAGTTGGAATCGCAACTCCTTCAACATCTTGTAGAACCTTCCACAGCAGAGTAGGGAGCACATACAACTAGAAGATGGCATATATATATAATATGACAGATGTCTACAAAGCCTTAAGGTAATATGATTGTTTGATACATTTTTTTCCTTCCCACATGGCAAAAGTAAAGGCTGTTTCCTGTTAACAGAATGCTGATACAGCAATCATATTTGTGTTGGACCAGGTTTAACTAAAAGCGTACTGCTGAGTCTGACATTTTTAAATCTCAGGTGAAATGCCAAACATTTAGCAGCAAGTGACAAACCCATCAGTGACTGGAATTATGTCATTAGGTGAGAGCTTTCTAAATGTGAAGGGACACATGAGCAGTGTTTTTGATGAAGCTTTTAGCTGGCTTCTATAGTCTAATTACCAGAGAGGAAAATACTCTATAATATTCTAGACTGGCTCTTAGACTGCTTATTTTTCTGGGTGGGACCATAAAAGACTGAAAAGTTTTAGGTAGCTCGGGATCACTACATTATATTAAATATTCACATCCTTTCAATATATCACAGCAGACATGTAATTACAAGAGAAATACACATATAATGAATGATGGGAACAATGGCTGCATACTGTTTATGTTCAGGGCCCTAGTATTGTGTATGCTGGTTCAATCAGACCATGGATTGATTACTGAAAATAGAATGTCTCATGAAGTGACACATAACAACTACAAATAGAAACAAAAACACCTCAAAATCACACAAAACAACATACAAAATACACAAAACAACAGCAAAAAGAGGCAAAATTACAGTTTTACATTATAAAGAAGTATGTCGTTTAGCCACTTGGTGGCAGCGTGGCAAGCTGAGAATACCACTTCCTTTTTAGATGTTTTTGTGCTAACCAACAATTGGCCATTTTCACACAATCAGTGGATGTAGAGGATCATCATTTGCATTTGGGGTTGTTTTTTGTATGACCTGATGATCTAGTTTATGCTCTCTGTTGATAGTCTCTATGACGCCATGTGTCACATTATTTATTGAATCAATTAGATGTTCTTGTCAAGTATACACAATCTGGTCTTTCATGGTTAACATAATGAAATATGCTATGTTCTTGTGTTCTAAAAGAACACTAAGTAGTTAGCATGAGGGGTGAAAAACAGAACAAGGAATGCAAACTCAAGAATACATGAAAGACTTAGACACATTCTTATGGAGGTACAGAGCAGTTACACCACATTGCTGATCACTTAACAACATAGAGACTTAATAAACACAAAAGAAACCACGACACTGGGTTCAAAGTGTACTCACAGCAGGAAGTGCAAAGAAGGCCACCCCGATCATGCTGAACGCGGCTGCCAGCATGCGACCATTCCAGGTCTTTGGAACCTTATCACCATAACCAATGGTGGTGAGAGTTATCTGGTGAGAAGATAAGTTAAAGTCACTCTGATTCGTGGAACAGGTTGCATAGAAGAAAGAAAGGAAAACTGACAGACTGACAGACCCTTTCCCCCCTGTCTTACCAGTCCCCACCAAAGGGCATCAGCATAGGTCTCAAACTCAGTATTTGAATCTTTTTCCACGGAGTAGACCAGGAATGAAGCCAGGATGAGGCACAGGAAGCCGATGTACCACGCTGTGATGAGCTCCTGCAGGGAAGACCAATACAGTGAGCGGCAGGGAATCTAAAGTAATAGTGTCATCGAAGAAGCCTGGCAAAGTGGTGATGTAACCTCTGTAAACTGGTAAAAATGGCCTTTGTAATAATATTACATTACATAGAAACATAATTATGTGAGTCCATTGTCCTCTGCGGTAGACCAAGCACTTCATAATAACCGTCTTTATTCCCCTCGATGCTTCCTCTCTCCGTCTCTCACAAACACACACAGTTTTCCACTATCTTGTTAGTGCAAGCTGATAATTCAAAGCTCATTAAAATAAAACTGAGATAAATATATTTCCATACCATGACAGGATTACTGTCACTGAATTAACACGGTGGAAAATAAAGCACTATTAGTTTGAACCCCCATGGTTTAAATCACATGTGAAGACCACTTTCACCCAGGACACCACTGTATTGATTGACTGTAAAATAAAACAGTTGACTTATTTTAGGCCTACGTCACTTTTATTACATTCTTAAATTACATACACAACTTAACTTAAATATGTAACTTAGGAAATGTAACAAATATAGTTATTTTAACCCAAAGCATGACATTTTACTAAACCTAAATAATGTTTAAAACTGCAACTGTGACCTGGAGGAAATAGGTTTGACTTAAAACGTAATTATTAATGTTTTTGTTTTAGCCAAAGTCATCCTTTTGCCCTGGCTTAAAGAGCAACTTGCAGGTTAGAGACACCAGTGAATAAATGTGTAGGAAAATGATGAATACACTAGATTTTCCTAAAAATATGAGAGGGGTCTGCCTGCAGACCTCCACTCTCAGGACAGTTCCGGTGCAGACCTCCACTCTCAGGACACCTCCACTGTCAGTACAGGAAGTGACGATTCTGACGTGTGCTAGCTAATAGTGATGCTAATGATAGGTAATTCCTAATAGTAGTATGTGTGTCGTTTGTACAGTGCTACTTATATGTTATGTAAAGCCTGCATACTTGTGTGTTTTATTTCTGTATCGTAGCGACAGAGAGAGAGGGGGGTAAGCTTACGAGACTGAGGAGGGACGGCCATGTGCCGTTCGGCATTCTGATCACACCTCAACTTAATCCATTGCGCCACAACCGACATGACCGAGGTCGGCAGGGAAAACAAACAAACAAAGGGGGACCGCACAACAAACCACCGCACCACCGCAGTGAGGCCGAGGGCGACGTTGGCAGGATCGAGGTGGAGACGTTAGTCGACCCGTGGGGAGGGGCTGATGTGTGTGACGGAAAAGGTAGTTCGGTAATGTTGCCGTTGTTTGCCTTTAGTGGTTGTGAATTGAGCTGTGTGGTTCATAGTCGGCATAAGCCAGGAGGGATTTGTGCCTGTCTTTGTGTCATTCACCGAACGTAATCCATTTGGCGTTATGCCGGACTATGAACGCGTAATCAAGAAATACCTTAGTCTTAGTTTGGGACGGCGTATGATAGTTCGTGTCAAAATTATTCGGACTATACTACGTATGGACTGTGTTTTGTGTGTTGTGCTGGTTTCTCTAGGGTGTATAGTTGTTCTTGTCGACGAGACAAGAGTGTGACCAGAGGTGTGGGTTTCGGGGTAAAGGAGGCTACCGGGCACATAAAAAGATTAGGAAACCGCGAGGATTCCTTTAGTAGTACTGTTGTGATGCTCGTAGTATTATATTAGTATTCTTGTAGCTTTATGTGTGTTTGTTATTGTATTGTCTGTACAATAGTCTGCATTCTGTTCCGGTCGGTGTGGAACAGGGGATCACTGCAGTGTGGCGCCCTCCAGTGCACGCCTCCGAAAAAAATTACGCCTTCACTTTACAGGAAATGATTTTATGCGGTACTGCAGTGCATCACCATATAAGACATATAAAAGTACCTCGGACGGGGACGTCTGGTAGGTTGAGAGTCCTTGTTAAGGCCCACGTCCGACGTGAGAGTCCTGTTTGTGTTTGTGGTTTAGTATCGTCCTTCACTGCTAAGAACTGCTTGTTGTACAAAAAAAGAGGGCGGGTTTTGTGCCTCAATGTTTAGTGTTACCTCTGAATAGGCCCTTTGTGCTGGTGTGTTGGCTATCTTGTACCAGGCCAGGAACCAGTTCGGGACTGGGTTGGTCGGGACCAAAGAGCATCTTATGTCGTATTGTTGTGTGTTTACCTCCTTCATTGCCCTCACTGTCCTCTCTGGACGGGCGGGTGCTCACCGATAACGCTGGTGAAAAAAGTGAAAGGGGGATCAAAAGGGCCAAAACCAATTAAATAAAAACCCGTAAGGTGTGGGCTAAAGATAGATGGCCCCTGTAAACGGGCCAGAGCCACAGGGGGTGCCAGACACGAGGGTCGGGACGGGGGTGAAGTAGGGATCATAATTGCCTAAAACTGTTAAAACAACACGAAAAAAGAGGAGAGAGTGTTAGCTTAACGTTTGCGCCTGGCGTGGACAGCCTCCCGGAGGCGGCGGGCAGATCCGGCCACGAGAACCGCAGCCAAGAGGCGTTGACGCCCAGCTGAGACTACCGGCCCTCCCACCACGACGCAACCCCACCCAGCTGAAGGGGGAAGACACACAGAGCGAAGGAAAGGGCCGGCGGCTAACTTCCGCACTTGGTTTCTTGCGTGGCAGGTCCCCAGGGGTGAGGGCGGGTCGCCCTACCTCCAAGGGTGAGGGCGGCGCATATCTATTTACTTAGTGCAACATATAGTCATGTCATACATACTTGACCAGACGGGAATGTCGCGCATAGGGATACGCATCGGATCTGTCAATTCGATTGTAAATTTTCAGGAGGTTATTCTACGTTCCAAAAGAAAGGAACTGAAAATGACAAGAAGAAAATGAAACANCTTGAAAAACAAATGTTTAGATCCAGTATATTCACTGTACTGTGTTCGTCGTCCATAACATACGCCTGCCCATACCATAACCCCACCACCACCATGGGCCACTCGGCCCATGGTGGTGGTGGGGTTATGGTATGGGCAGGCGTATGTTATGGACGACGAACACAGTACAGTGAATATACTGGATCTAAACATTTGTTTTTCAAGTCTGTGTTTTCAGATTTGACGGAGATATATAATTAAGGAATCTGTGGATAAAAAAAGCTGGATCAAATTAAACCAATTTCAAAACAATACCATACATGCCAACCTTTCCAAATCCAAAAGAGGTAGGTTTGCGCGCGGCAAATGTGCACACCCAAATTAGGTAATCAGAAGAAATGGAACCCCAGTAATTAAATGTATAAACCATGTATTTAACATATATTGCATCATTTTATGCATTTTTCAGAAAAAGAGGGAATTAGGCCTACTGTACGGCTATGAAGTTAGTTTTATGTTGGATACTGGACCGACATTCTTCTTGCACAGTTTAACAGATTGTCGGAGCATGGTTTTATTTAGGGACCATCAATGTGTTGGAGTGACACAAAACCAATGTTATTTTAAATACCTCTGTGCTCACTTATTGGAGTTGCAAGAACTACATGTGTCATAACTACACATGCATTTTGTCAATTACATTTTTTTCAATAACATGCCTTTTCCAATTGTGGAAAATAGGTATGGTTTGACATTAACTAAAGATGCATAGAATAACAAGTGGATAAAAGTTTCTATTGTAAATCTGGTGGTTATATAACGGTTACAAAGGTACTACTTTGTTGAGCTCCAAGTGAATATATTTGAGTGTTGGCCAGTCTGCAGTTTGTGCCTCTACCACTAGATGTAAGCAGTGATACACTGGCCTCCCAAATGCATTCACACAGACTCCCACTCAGTATACACACACTAACACAAATATATAACCACTCTTTTCACTTCTTCAGAAAACCTCTTGTCAAAGTTTTTACTTCGCACTCAAAGTAACAATTAAAAGTTTGACAGAGATTTTGAAAAAGAAAATGTCTGGATTCCCTGCAGAACAGAGCAAAGAAAAGGTGATGAATCAATAGCCATTACCTTTCACACACACACCTCTCTCCGGTACTGGGAGAGTACATGTAATGGTTATTTGATGTCAGTGTGTGTTTATAGTCCTGCCATCCTTTCGGAACCAGTGACCTGAATTCAGAGAAACTGTAGAATGTTGTTTTTAAGTACAGTCGTTTTTATTTGTCCTCTCTAGTCTCACTACTTCAAAAACTTCAATACATTTGCTAAATGTCACCTTTTCTTTTGTCTTTGCTAAGAACAAACGTCTGTTCTGATATCATACCTCCAGGCAGTACATTTTTAAAATAAAAAACCCTTCAAGTTTTCTTTTGAGTTGATTTTACCATGGAGAGTAAATCTGACATTATGGGGGAGCCTTTAATTAGAGACACAATCGTTAGTTGATTGATTTTCTATTCAATGATATAAGAAGTTGCTAAGTGATGAGCATCTCTCTTAAAAATGTCATTAGTGGTTTCCAAGCATCGAAACGACCTTAGCCTAAATGAAAAAAATATGAACTTGCCAACACACACAAGAGCAAACATAGATGTAGTTATACAGAAACACAAATGGTGAAAACCAAGACTAAATGAAAAGGTTGAAAGCAATGTACCAAATATTTGTTGATGTTGTAAAGGCAAATTATATGACGTCGAGACAAATAGGACTTAAGGTGTCAGTATAGGCGGTGTGTATAAGTGATTATGGCTGGCCAAATAGCTTTGGAAACCTCTTTCCCCAACACCTTTCCAATGTAGCATTTGCTAAAGTACAGCTGATAGAAATCTGAATAATTTTGCAGGTAATTGGTCCTGAACCAAGTTTTGGACACATTAAGAGTTCTGACATTATATTGCCTCTAGATGACTAGTTAGGATCATCAAAGCTATTGTGGTTCAACCTGTTGGGAACATGAATGTACCAAATTTCCCATCCATAGTAATCCTTTATCCTATACTGTAGTTGCAAAGAAATGTCACTTTGGACTAGAGTTCAATGTCCTTTCAGACCGACATTTGTATTCTGAGAGCTTGGAAAGGAGAAAAGCTCCTCTATTGTGGACAAAGAGTTTTCTTGACTTTAGACATTGATATCTTCACATAGACTGAATGGATTTTTACAATATTAACTGCTTTTAAAATCCATGTTCTTTTGATATTTAAACAAAAGAAGTAGTTGGGACCTGTGATGAGGGTTATTAGTGCAAGTGGTATTGAAGGAAAAGGTAAAGCCAACCAGCCTGAAAGCTTATGTTGAAAGGAAGTGGGTCAACATGAGAAATACAGATGGTGCATTCAACAAAGGTTATTAGATGATTCTCTTTCAGAACACAATAAGCTTTTAGAGCTAGTGAAGGACTGCGGTCCCTGATGTGTACAATGCCTTACTGAGGGATGAATGGAAACAAATTGGAGTTGTTAAGAAGATCAATAAGAACCCTGAATGTAAAGGAAAGACAGCTGGAAGTCTCTGGATTTGTCTTCTTGATCCACAAAATCTAAGTTCAGTAAAAAACAGAATGCTTCAAAATGTTTTTAGCACACAATAATTGTCGTACTATGATACAACTGATGTGGACTGTTACATTTAAAAGCTTGCATAGCATTGGGGGTAGTTGTAGAGCAAACAATTCAGAAATAATTCATTAAATTAAAAACCTCCGACACAATTTATCCGAACACTAAAACCAGAACAGACAAGGTAAAGGTAATCATAAACATCTAAACGTATGAATACAAAACGACTTTGCAAGATTCTTTATTTCTGAAATATTTTATTCCCATCCTAACTGAACGCAGAGCTCCAAGAGCTCAAACAGGAAGTTGTGGTGACAATAAAAGAATGAGCCCATAGTGCTCTGACTGAAAGGTTGACTATTACTCTCATATAGAAGTGACAAAGTGTTTAAATAAGATCTATCCGAGCCTGATAAACATGATTTCATGATCAAACGGTTAAACAGAGTATGAAGACCAACTCTAGCAGTGTAATTATTATTATAACAATTATTATTATTATTATTGTATTGTTACCTTGGTTGGTGATTGGCTAATGGTTACACAAGCCAAAAAATCGTTATGACATCATAAAGTGGCCAAAATCTGATCAGCTCATTTTCAGACAGGTTTTTAT